GGCAGGCTCGGCAGGCACCTCTCCTCGGGCTCCCGTCTGGGCCTTGTCTGAACCTCTGACTGCAGAACTCGTGCGGGATGCTGCTTAACACGTTCCTGGGGCTGTGAAGAGAGTCGGTTTGCCTTCTTGCTGTTGAGGGTGGGTTTATCAGTGAGTGCTTCGTACTTTCTGCTTTGTTAACGTTCGGTTCAATCTGTTCCTCACCAAGGAGCTGCTCTGGTTTCCAAGACTTCTTTTCTCAGTTAACAACTAAACAGCAGCAGCAGCAACAAAAGAACGTGCAGTTTATCGTGAAATTCTCCATTCAAGGATTTCTTTTCATCTCTGCGTTCCCTTACAGGTTCCTACATTTCATATTTTCTAACGTGTATTCATTTTGATGTCTGTATCTCCTTTTCCCCCCCCCCTCGTACTACGCTGTCTTTTTAATTGCTGCTTTTATTTCTGCATTTTGATGAAGGGGTTTCCAACCAGCCTCGGCTTTTCCAACTGCAGCATCCCCGCTGCGGTTGCAGCTTCGTGGCACTTAAACCCTGAACTCCCCGCTTTTGCTCCGATGCTTATCCGCATTTCTCCCGCTCGGTGATCCCGTGCATGGAGATGACTCTGGGAAACGGATGGCTTCGAAGCAGCAATGTATTTTTGAGTGACATTGGAGAGAGTGAAACTACAAAGAAGTCCAAAACCTATGAATATTGGACACTTTCCTGCTCTCCGTGCTTTTCACGGCGTGATTCCAAACTGCGGGTGCGGTGGCAGGGGGGACACGCGACATCGGGAATGTTTTGCGGAGCCCCCCGGTTTCCCTTCGTGCGGCGGTGGAGATTGTTCCGCTGGATAGCGCGGTTCCCCTCTCGTTATCGAGTACGGCTGATAAGGCTGCCTCAGACCGCCAGACCGTGCCCGCTCCGACGCCGAGGAGCTTGGAAGAGGTTTGAAGGGAACTGGAGACAATACGATGGCACTTCCCGGCTGACAGCTCTCGATAAGGCAGACCCGCCGCCGCTCCCCCCGCCCTTTCGTTTGCCCCCGTCGAGTTTTCTGCCTTGCTCTGCTGCTCAGTTTTACAAAGCCGCAGAAGCGGTTTTTTCGGGGAGGGAAGCTGAAGGGGCAGCTCAGAGGAGAAATCTGGACCGTCGTTGGTGCCTTTTGTCCTTCTTGTGTTCAGTAAACGGCTCTGGATGTTGCGAATGGATGACGTCTGTGTCGCTCTGACGGTGGAAAAGGCGCAATTTCTGCAAGGGAACGGCGAAGCAAACGCTTTGTGCTTTGCTCGGATGGGTCGCGCAGCCTCCGGCACCTGTCCCAGCCTCCCCCCGCCTCGCTGCCCCTCGCTATATTTACCTAGGGGGAACTTTCCAAGAATGGAAGTGGTAAGATAAAACCCCTGAGGGGCTAAAATTAGCCCTGGCGCCCTGGCCCTGCTCCCCACGGTGGCATTTCAGCTGTGAGCTTGACAGCCTGCATCGTTCCGGGCACACGGAGCAGGGGTCCGTCCCCGACACAGCAAGATCCTCGCTCTTTCTCTCCTTTTGTTTTTTTTTTTTTTGACTGTTTTTGGGTTTTATTGCTTAAATCGAGGGAGCTGGTGCCATGGACCCGCCCTGGCTGTGAGCATCACCGCCGTCCCAAGGTAAGGCAGCAGCATAATGGTGCCCAGGCAGCGCCGGGCAGGTGGGGGTAACTCAGTAACCAGTTGTAGAGACACGAGGGTGTTCTCTGTGTCCTCCAGCTCCAGCCACCGGCGCTTTCCTGGGGGTCTGCGGGCACACGGCCGGCTTCCTGCTGCTCGTGGGATGACAGCGCTGGGCTGGGCTCTTTGGGGGGAGGAACACCTGTGAGCTCCCCATGTGAGTGCTCACGCTGTCAAAGTCACGTCCCTTTGGAGATGCTTACTTGTGTCTTCAGGAAATGTTTCAGCTGTTTTTTCACTTTTCCAGACCATTTCCCATGGGAATATAACAGCCTTTATTTTGAATTGAATCTGCAGTAACCCCTCCACCCCATGAGCCGTGTGGGTGGGGGGTTTCCAAAGCTCCAGAGCTTGTTATCAGCGTGTCCCCTGTGTAACAGTAATGTTATAATTTCACATATTTCTATATAAACTGGGTTTGTGTCAGTCTCAAGGGTGGGTGTCAGGAGGACGGGGCCAAACTCTTACCAGTGGTGTCCAGCGACAGGACAAGGGGCAACGGGCACAAACTGAAGCAGAGGAAGCTCCAGCTGAACCCGAGGAAGAACTTCTTCCCTCTGAGGGTGACGGAGCCCTGGCCCAGGCTGCCCAGGGAGGCTGTGGAGTCTCCTTCTCTGGAGATATTCCAGCCCCGCCTGG